CGGGTCGTTCCTATTGTGTCTAATTCTAAGATCGTAAATCGCGGAGAAGTCGCACGTGTGCGACACGCACACATATGCGCGCGTTACGTGTAACCTGCCGCAAATACATCGTACCATCGTTTTTCCTTTATGGTAATCGACAATTTGCATTTCTCGGCGATCGCCGCCGAGCCTCTTCGTTCGCTTCGTTATGTAAATAATATCCCGCGCTCTCGGAGAGTCGGCGCACGCGAATTCGGCGTATATAACAAAGGTAAAATACGACACTCGTATAAATAGAAGTTTTCTTCACAGCGACGTGAGTTCCTTAATTCGCGCGAGTGGCCCGACGAGTTTTGTTCGGATTATTTATAGTTGTCGCTCGTTGACCACCCGGCATGCCTTCGCCTCTCGCCGGGGGCCTTTATCATATCGGGGTTCTAATTTTACTCGTGCGCGACGATAAAAGTCTCGATCTTCAAAAGGAGCCACGTGTTCCGCGCTCGAAATGGAAGGAAGGCGCCCGGAGAGCTCTTTCTCGTGCGATCGACCGGTCGCGCGTCAAGCTCGTAAATCGACGATAAGATTTTTCCCTCGGGGCAGCCGTGCCGGAAGACTCCTTGAGGTCGTCGGCGCCGGCTTTTCGCCCCCGTTTCGTCCCGTCGCGACACGAAAGTGAGACGTACCGATTTTATTGCCCGCGAAGACGCCAATGCAGACGCGCCGAGGACAGTGCCGCAAATAACGAGCTATCAAAGTCAACAATGACGCGCGGCATGAATTTATCGCATCTGCAATACGGAGGCAGATCTATAAACAGAAATCATTAAGCGCGCCGTCGCACGCACACACACGCGGGATAATTGATTTCGAATACGGCACGATAGAAGAGGCCCGACCTCGCCACGTCTCTCTTTCCTTCTGCGAACGGCGCGGCTTTTCCGAGTTATCCGATCGATCACGACAGCCGCTGGAAAGTTGGAGGCTTGACCTTTCGGACACCGCGAGGTAAACGTATGGTACACGAGCGGATGTAAGAATTCTACGCAGAGTTAACTATGTAACGCTGTGAAAAAAAAAAATGCGCTCGATCGACGATAACGGCTAGTCTACGAACATCTCCGGAGATTAGATGGGTCATTAGATGAGTCTCGCTTTAAATTGAAACTTTAAAGCGAAACCGCATAATCCGCGCCTCTCTTCCTCGGCGTACTCTCGACGCGACAGTGACGCGAGCCGACGTCCGACGTCGCGAAATAGAATCCACGTCGGCTAAAATCTCCCCCTCGCTTTAATACTTGCCGACATCCGTGAAAGCCTCATGAATAATATTACCGGCGTCTATCGATGTAAGCCTTTTGCATCCTCCTCGTTTCACGTTGTGTATCGGCAAGCGCGAATTTAGATTTTAAACACCGATCCGGCCGTGTCAGTCGCTCTCGCGAAATCATTTTCCCGAAGTGAAGTGTAATTTGCCTGCGTCGCAAAAACAGAAATCAGCAACGTGAGATGGATCGCAGATATTTCAATCGCAAAAGATATCTCTCTCTCTCTCTCTCTCTTTCTCTTTCTAAAATTATTTCTAATTACAATATTTCTTTTTTATGTCATAGTTTTGCAATATCAATACGATCTTAAATTTGCGAGAGGATCGTTTCGCGACATCCGGTCTGCATTTCTCTCTTAAATCAATATCGCGACATTCCGTGAAGACGAATCCGATCTCCATGGGATCTCAGTCGTGTGATTATCCGAGTGTCCGGAGAAATAAATCGTTGAGGCTACACCTCGGCTACAAAGCGACAAAGTAGCAACGGCCTCCGCTCTCGAGCTCGCGCGCGCGTGCAAGCGTTTCGCGTATCGCGCGCGTAAAGACCCATGAGACACCGTCTGTGTAAACATTCGCGGAATGTTCTTTGTCGGTCCTTTGTCGGAATCGACAGTCATCGTGTCGCGCATGCGACGTGCCTCGTATCCCCAGGAGTATTCGGTGTCGTACGTAGAAGCGAGTACGTGCGAATATTCCAACGTCGCGACGAGCGCGGTGACAAGCAATTAGTACCGGCAATTAGCACCAAGCGAGATCGCCACAGGCCGGCGTGGATCATGCCAAGGATATGAGCAGCCGTTCGTCTATTCGCGGTTCGAAACCTACCTTCGACGACCGGCTCGAACCAGTTCTTTTTTCCCTTTCTTTTCAGCGCGCCTCGATCGCGCGAATGACGCGAAATGTCCTCTTTCAGCCTCCTCCTCCTCCGGCATTTACGCCAGCGAAAGATTCTCGGCCCGGTAATCGGAGTTTTAGTCGACGCAAAATATGAGGGATAGTTAATTCTTCGGTTGAAAAAAAATTTCCTAATTTATATACGTTGATAATGAGAGGGAGAAAGAGAGAGTGTAACATATACGCGCGTTAAATAGTTTAATAATTTATCGGAAAGCCAACGATTATGCTGATATCGAATTTACAAGATACACGCAACGACGTATTTATGAACGAGACATTGGTCCAGCCTTCTGCGACCATCGGCGGCGAATTCCATCGTAAACAAGCGCGGGTGCTTCTCTCGAGCCGTGCGCACACGGTGGCACTTTCTCCTCGCCGCCTTCTGCGCATCCAGGTTGAACTTAATTATCGTTAGTCCCACGCGATACGTGGCGTTGAACTTAGCTCCACTTTTATGCGATGTTACAAAGGAAATGATACTACTCTCGGTGTTCTTCTTGACGAACGGACGGCTTAACTCCGAGAGGTAGGCCTCTTTCTTAGATATAACATATGTCCGATCTCGGACATATTTATTAATTATTTTAAAGTATCGGCGATAATCCACATATCTCATAAGCGAATTCAAATTGACACTTCAGCCACGTTTCCGGAAAGCGATGAAAACTTTGAAGGTAAAGTTTCTCCTTCTTCATTAACATATTAACACTCGTACAAGCGCGCCCACCTCTCTCGGGTCCGAGATAAAGAGCGAAAATGTTCGCGTCAAACACGAAAAATTGGCCGGCCTCCGTGCTCCGATGGCGCCGAGACTCGTGTGTGTTTGTTTCTCTCATCTCCTCAGTGGTGCGGGTACGGGAGAATCGATCTGCCGAGAAGTCTAAGTCGAGAGATCTCTCTCAGCGATACCGGAGATTTTTCTCGCGATCTTCTCGCTCTCGGGGCTTCTCCACACGCTGGCAAAGATGGGGGCGATTCGTTCCGGATTAAACTGAACGAACCGAGGGTTATCTCGATAAATCCGCCGTCGGAAAGGAGCCCGGCGCGCCCGACGCCAATGTGAACGCATTTTTGTTGGCGCGCTCTCGAGAGCGCTCTCGTGACCCACCATGCGCGACGACACGGTAATTTCCAATTACCGCGCGATCGGCCCTTCGACCAGCCTCCATTATTGTAACGAGAGAAGTTAAAGGTCGATCCGGTTACACGGATCTCTTCCTGAAACGAGCGGGGATACTCCTCCTCGACGCAAACAAAAGGACGGCGTCTATCCCATTTTCCACGAGACATAAACACAATATTCGATGTGGATAAATTTTTGTTCTGGGTTAGAGACGATCTAAAAATTTCCCGAACATTTCCTAAAGAAGTCCTGTCAACCTTGACCTGAGGCGTTCCTCAACGTCCTCTTCCCGTCCAGTCCCGACCATGACGTTCTTCTTCTTTTTCTTCTTCCTCAATTTCTTTCCGAGCTGAACGCGGATGTCTCGTCGTCGTCGTCGTCGTCGTCGTCGTCGTTGTTGTTGCTGTCGCTACTTTTAGTTGCGTCCACGGCGCCAGTTTTTGACAGTGTAGTAGTGGCGACGATGACGGCGACGATGATGCTGTGGAGTATCTTCTCTCTGATGTAGGTGGAATCCAGTCGCGCAGCGCGATCGCAGCGAGTAGATGTTCGGACCATTCGAGTCCATTATGCATGTGCATAAGTTGCGCCTCAGGGAGAGCAGGGAGGAAGGAGAGGGAAAGTAAAATTTCTGACACACGGCGAACCGCTTCCTTTCCAGGTTCTACGTCGAAGTTGCTCCCGCGTGCATGTCGATCGCAATGCGATTCGGGATGTTTCTTTGTGCGCTGACACTTCCGTGAATCCTCGTTCTGCAGGTATTCTTGCACTCGGTTGACTCATGAGGCGAAATAGCGGCGAAATTAATAATTTGCGATAATCATAAACCGTTCGAAGGATCAGCCAAGCGGAAATATCGCGTAGGTAAATGACTAATTAACGCTATCTATTTTTAAGATATCGCGAACGCAAGCTCGGAAAAGTAGGACGTTTCGAGGACTGAGTGGGCAGTGGGACATATCGTTTAAAAGTGGCAACGTATGGTCAGCTCTTATTCTATGAGTGGGCTATCGAACGGTCGTTAGCCCGAATAAATGGGTCCTGGTCTCAAATTATTTGAAATGTAGTGCGTAAAGATTCAATCGAGAGACATGATCGTAAAAAATTCACGGTAATACTTTCCACGGTAATACTTTCACTTTTCACAATTTGTACTCTCTGATCATATGAAATTATTTTCAATTATTTTATCTTTGCGTTATATGTAATACGCACGATATACCCAATATCGTGCGTATATCTTTTTATATTTTTATATGTACGTGTACACGGGTAATTTCATTGTGGTCTCAGTGTATGTGTCTATACATGTATGCAGTCGGCAGACAAATCGTCAGACCGTGAATCGCGCGTCTCTTTCTCTCGCGCGAGAGGAACAATGAGACTCGTTATTTTATTTACATATTGAAGCGCTATTTCATGTCCACCTATAATTACGAAGTCAAACCGCGAGGAGGATTTCAAGCCGACCCTGGGAGGAGGAGAATCGCGGCGGGAGGATGCGGGAGGATCGAGAGGTGGTCCAGGGAAACGGCTGGGGTCTCGGCGTGTCGGTATCGGACTTACGGCGTGCTCTCCGGCGCGCGCGAAGAAGGAAGAAACGAAGCGGAGAAGAGCGAGCGTGCGTGCGTGCGTGCGTGCGTGCGTGCGCGCGCGCGCGCGGAAGGAGATTCGTACTCTGGTTGGCTCCGGCGGCGGTCAGTTTCAGACTCGGCGCTGGACCGTGAGCCACGCGATCTCTCTGTTTCTCTTTCTCTCTCTCTCTCTCTCTCTCTCACTCTCTCGCTCTCTCGCGGCCGCAAGATGTAAAGATCGACGTCGATCGCATAGCGAGGTAGAAACCGTCGCCTCAACGATGATAGAATGACACCGCGCGCCTCGGCTCGCTCCGTGTGCGTGGCCGATCGAGAGGAGATCGAGCGCGGAGAGTGTGCAAGCCGTAGGATCGAGAGCGAGAGTGTGCGGATCGAGATCGCGGGTCCGCGAGTCCGCCGACGAGAAGCTTGAGGAAAGTGCGTCGGGGTAGCGCGGTTGTTGAATAGATCTGCTGCATATTTGCGAAGATTCGCGAAAAGAGAATACGAGATTGGAGATTAGGTAAAACGCGAGTGCGCCCTCCAAGCGTTGAAATCTCCGCCGGGCGCGCGATATAGGAAAAAAACTCGCGATACGGCTGTCATGATCTATCACCAATCGAGTCATCAGGCGCCCACCATGTCATCTACCAGGAAGACATCGCCCAGGCCGCAGCATCGTAATCTGCAAGCGTCTTCGGCGAAATGCGCGAAGACGAGGCGGGCGAACGAGCGGGCGGTCAACGAGGAGAGATGCAGGGGAAGATGCAGGGTGCAGTGGAGCGAGAAACACGTGAAGGAGGGCCTGGTGCTCGTTCAAGAGACGCAACTCGCCAGGGTGGTCAAGACGGGGCCCATCACGGAACACTACGAGATCGATCCAAAACCATTCGCGAGGTGAGTCCATTCACGATTCGTAATACGATTTTCAGAGTCGCGTAAAAGTTCGCCGAAAATATCTAGCGTGGATTTCTAAAGCATCGTTCGATCGAAACATAAAATGTCATCGTTGCACATGCAAACGGCGATGCAACGTCTCATGAATAAATTGAGACGAGATCACTTGGAATAATAAATCCGTGAGTGATCCGTGAGTTCCTAAACGAAACTTTTCGGCCGAGTCTCACTCGGCGAGTCTCACGTCATTTACTCCCGACGATCTCGTCGCTCCTCGTCGCAGCTCGCATCGCGTGCAACGAGCCACACAATGATTAATCGCCCTCGGATGCGACGCGTAATTTGTCAAAGCGTTACTCACGGTAGCAATATACGTGCGCAACGATACGTGACGCGCGTCGCGCATTAATCATATTTATTGCATCGCCGCTAATCACCGCGCGAATTAGGCGGCCCGTAATGATCAGCGGCGATGACGAGCGATAGTGACGGGGCGTCGGTAATAGGACGCCGATTGCCCAATTGCTGCAATTTCTCTCGAGCTAATAATTTAATTTAGAGTCGCACGAAACGCGCGTGTTGCACACACGGGACATTTACGGACATAGTGCGGGTCTCGCTCATGATTAATCCGCGTCGTTATCCCGTCGTCGTCGAGCCACCTTCATTTCTGTAAAATTGATCGATTTAATGACTCCCGCGTGTGTGGTCGCCATTTTCTGAATAATAATGATCGATCTATCGTCGAATTCATCGGGGATTTTTAAATCCCCCGGAACTATGTAAATTGTCGGTCGTCCGGGAGCTTTAATTGCGTCAGGGCATATTCAGCTGTTCGCCTCGGTTTACGCGATCGCGTTTGCGACATCGTGTCAACGTTGTCAACCCCCAACCCGCAACGAGTAAATAAATAAATCGATAAATGTGGGATACGACAGTACCGGTTTCTCAGCGGGGTACTCATACTCGGATTAATCCGGGACGGTGTCGATCGGTCGATTATTAACCGAAACCGATATAGCGGCTCCGTTTCGTGAAGGCGTGACAAGGGGGCTCACTCGCGTGGACTTTAAGACGTTTCATATTCATGGGTGTGGTAATGGGTTGTTTTAATTTCTCTCTCGGAATAGCGCGCACTGATAACTTGGTGCGCGCCCCGATATCAGCCGCCGTGATTTTCTCGCAGCGCGTTTGCATCGCTAATGAAGCTGATTTACCTGTTGCTGGCGCAAGCACAAAGGCGTCTCGCGTAATACATAAACAGTCGCCGTACACCGAGTTGGACCGAGTTACGGATGTAATCGTGCATATTTATGGAGACAGCACCGTGCGTGCGCGCGTGCGTGCATTTGTCACGATCTTGCCATCTCCCGCGTATCGCGTTCCTTTCATTTTTTCCATCTTCCTCTCTCCGGTTTCTTGTCCCCCCTCCTCCCCCGTAAAATTGATATAATGAGAATCGAAATCGACATCTTTGTTGAATGAGATACAGCGACTTAAATTGAAGCGAGTCCCGGAGAATCGGACGCTTTTTATCGACGCGACGCCTACGTCTTTATTTGCAATTAATCGAGGTGACCGACGGAATCGTCCTCCGTTAGGTGATATAAACTTTCGCAAATTACCCAGCCGCGTTTCTCCACTCGACTCTTTTAATATCCCTCGATATCGCCATTATTAAGCGATCCATCGCTGAAATCCAATTTTCTATGATTTTCCACCTGATCTTTAATAATAGCGAACGCTTTAATCGTTGCGCCGTACACAGCGGATATTATCCCGCGTCTCGCCGATTCAACGCACTCCTCTCCGTGTGCATGCGCGCGTTCTTTGATGCCCGGCTCTCTGCGATCGCGGTAATTACTTTTGGAAACGAGCCTTGAGCCCGCGGTAAAGGGCAGGAAAAATTGCGGCGTGTATCGCCCTCTCTGTCTGGCGTCGCTTCCTTTGTTTCTCCGTTCCGCGCGCCTTTGACGTCGCGTATATCTCTCCGGGTAGGAGGGACGGAAAAATTCCACGGGTACACCGGCGCACGGCCTTAAAATTGGAATCGATTAAAGTTAATTGCGTGACGCCGCTATCAGATGCTCATTATCCTTATCTTCGTGACCGCGAAAGGACGCGGCGGATATTGCCGCGGCGATGAGTCGCCGTCGATTTGCACGCGAGGCACGTTTCTCACGGCGATCCCCTGGACGCGATCGCATTTCCGATTCCCAATTTTAAATACGACGTGTCCCTCACATTTTTTTGTTTTAATTGGTCAATCGCAAGAAGGAAAGGTACAAAAATATAAAAATATTTCGCAAAGAATTCTCGATGGTCGGACCTTAAGCGGACGAAAAATATGACAACCGGGATATTTATGATTTCAATGTAGAAAGTTAATGGTACCGTCTATGATTTTATCTTATGGACTCACCGCCGTTTATGTAACACATTCTCCCGTGGATAAAGGCGCTCACTCGCTTAAACAGTGGGTGAAAACGTGAGGTACGCATTACGGGCACAGCCTTGCCAGGCGCCGCTGTGTCGACCTTGCCGAAGAGACGACCGGAATCTTCGACGGCGAGTGCGAGATTCTCAGTACGATGAGGAGCACACTCGGGATTGCAAATAATATAGATCAATAAATAATACAGATCACTTCGTGAAATAAACTAATAGCGAGTAAAATGTCGTTGAAACAGCGAGAGAACGATGAAAATGCTGGTAGCAAAATGAAAGTCGAAATGGATTCTTGCGGATAAAAAAAACATGAACGTAAAATGAATTCGGTTTGATAAGAAATATAAAGACCAAGTCGATGATAATCGAAAATCTTTGGGGATTTTTTTTTTTTGGAAAGCTCCAAAGTCGCGTAGAAAGAAGAATGCAACGAGTGGAGGGAAAAGAGAAAAAACGTTGTGGAAAGAAAAATATTCGAAGTAGCAATGGAGGATGCCAAGGCGGTGGTGTTCGGGCATCGACTCCGTTTTTCAAGGCCGAAAAGAATTCAACGTGAAAACGCGAAGTCAAGCGGCATTAAAAGTCGAAGCTGCATCGAAGCTGCATCCGATCGAGTGTGTATAGACGATTGCGAGTATAAACTGTACCGTCGCTCTCCATCATATTGAAAGTGCGCTACGCTTTTATTTTATTCTCCCGCGTCATTTCATATCTTATACAATTTATCTCCGGCAATTTTTCAACGTCGTTTTAAGATTAAAATAAATGGAGTATTACGTCTTACGGCGATAAGGGGAAGGTCAGCGTTTCTCTTTCACTTTCTTCCGAAGGATCAGCGTAAAATATTAACAAGGGATTTGTTAAACTTAACAGCGGCCAATGGGCGAGAGTCTATCGCTGCAGGTCGCGATCGACCGGCATACTTTATGCGGCCAAATACTCATCCAGGAGTCGATTCAACGCCGACTGTAGCGCGGAGCTGAGACACGAGATTGCTCTATTGTCCCTGTGCTCGCAATCGCCACGTGTCGTTAGGCTGCACGATGTCTACGAGACGCCAAAGGAAATCATCTTAGTCATGGAATAGTAAGTCTACCAACGTCTTTCTTCTTTCCTTTTGACCAAATAGATTCACGAATTTTCTCAATATTAATTATTATCCTTCTTAGAGAGGGATTGCCATGAAGATTGCGATTAATTGAGAAAATAATAAAGAAAGAAATTTTTTTATATTTCGTTTAACGATGTGAAACTTGAACATCCTAAACACATCGTCCATCTCCGACTACATTATCCCAAGAAACGACGATTTCTTTTTCAGCGCGCCCGGAGGCGATCTGCAGACGCTCATCGACGGCGATTTGGTGCCCCTCGAAGGTGACGTCGTACACTTTGTGCGGCAGCTAGTGGAAGGACTCGCCTACCTCCACGAGAGAAATATCGCCCATTTGGACATCAAGGTAAGTTCGACCCATAAAAGGTCGATGCGAACTTGTCACGCTTCTCTCCGTATATCCGGATCCCGGAACCGACTCTGCGCCGCCAGAAATTTCCGACTGTTTTCTCCGTGCTCGCCCGTGCACGGCCGGGATGAAAACGCGAGAAAGACTGCGCGGGGAAATTTCACGGTCCAGGTTCTCTCTCAACGTCGGGTTTATTCCTCGTCGATTTATATGCGATATAACGATCGATCGCATATTCCTCTGTATCCGCTGTATCTCAATGGCGTAGTCGGCTAATCGAACATATCGGTCGGTTCATTGCGAGCGACAGATTCTATTCCGCAAAAGCGATATAACGCGCCGCAGATGAAAGAGAGCATTAATTGCGATCAGTCGCGCTATCGATTGCATGAGACGATGAACGATAAGCTCTTGAAACAAATTGGGATTGCCATTTACAGACAAAGTACTGACAAAGGCACATTCACGTACATATATACACACACATACGTGCGCGCGATTGACGTTTAATCGTAGGGCTTTTCGATCACAGCGCGATTCGATGAGAAAAAAGAAAAAGAATCGGATACAAATGAAATCGAATACACGGACTTACTTTGACTTGTTCCTGCTGCAATTTATCGCATCCGTAGAGCGCAGCGAGTTATTCCGCGAAAATCGAACTTGCTTTTATCCGCGAACTCTCCACGACGAAGGAAAAAAAAAGAGATAGAGACTGCGTCATGTTCGCGACTGCGTCATGTTCGCGACGAACGCGAATGGAAAACGAACGAGCCAACCGGACTTTCGAAACTTGATATATCTTCGCAAGCGAGATTTTCGCTCTTCCGAGTCGACGGTGTGGATTTCGCGTTCGCTGTTCATCAGCAAAAAGAACCCGCGCGCCAGACGCTTCAGTACTTTCGGTACAACAGTTTTTCTCATCAATGATTGTACGAATTATTTTGGGACCTTTCTTAGTCAGCACTCTGAAAATTGGACAGCGTTTCGAGCTCGGGACGAATGAATCGTCCATTGAGCGACGAGGTGCAACAGCCGGTTCGAGCTCCGCTTTATTCTTCGAGGACGATTCTCTTTTTTGCCGAATATCCGGGCTTCGTTCAGACGGCAAACACTTCGGACTGCCTTATTTTTTGCGACGTTTTTCTTTATTTTCTTTTTTGTCGGTCATAAAATGCGCCAGTGGCGTTCGACCGAACGCAGACGCGTCGTCGGTATCGCACCATAGTCGTCGACATTTACACCAGGGGTCTTTAATCTCCGACGGTCTTTAATCTCGACGGCATTGTTTTATCGCTCCCGAGAGAATCCTTTGCCGTTTGAGCGCTGCGTAAAAACGTCGGCGGCTTAGAAGTCTCGGAAAGCGGGACGACCTTCCGCTCCGAGGATTTAATTTGAGCCGGGAGCTTTTATTTCGTGATATTTTGTCTATTCTCTCTTCACATTTGGCATTTAAATATTTTTCATCGTTGTTTTATTAGTGTTCTATTACTGTCTATTCCTCGTCGATCCGATCAAAAGCACACTAGAATATCGTGCGATATATCTCGCGCCGTTCGAATAACTTTTACATATGTACGTCTCGTCGCTAATCGAGAAAATAAGGTGATCGATATTGAGTCAGATTAGCGTTGCGAGGTGAACAAGGTGCCAAGTTGTAAAACCGCGTGGACATTCGCGGAAAAAATCAACTTACGACAACAACATGCAGAAACGGCTTCGCGCCGTAAAGTGCATTTTGATCCGACGAGGTCATCGGAATTGCTCGTTACGGACGAGAAGATTCCTCCTTGTTATCCTCGCCAGAGCACAAAAGAGAAAGAAAGAGAGAGAGAGAGAGAGAGAGAGAGAGAGAGAAGGAGGGAGAGGGAAGAAGAGAGAGAAAGAAAGAGAGGTCGTCAAGCCTTTAGCAGCTCGAAACGACATGCTCGAACGAGGTAGCGGAATACTCGGTATCGTCCGTCTTGCGCTTCTTGTCTGCAATCCTCGTTCGTGAGTTAAAAGTCAATTTGCATCACACAACGAAGAACCGAGAGTCCGATTACTGCCGCGCAGTAAACAAAGAGTGTCTCCCTCGAGTCGAGTGATGCCGATTAGCTTAAAGAATCGAGTTAATCGCGTCAGTCGATTATGAGTCGATTAGCGTTTACCGCACACGAGGGGGGGGGAGGGGGGTTGACGCAATAAATTAACTCCGACCTACTGCTCGTTGCTCAAGTCCCCGACGAATGGGCACCACCTGATTTATTTCGTAAGCGCTACGGCCGCGGCCGGCGAAGTGTTCGACTACCGTGCACGTATGTACGTAAGTACGCGCCGTTGCGTACGACGTGAACGATTATTCCCGCGCTCCATAAACACGCCGCTGCCGTATTTGGCGATGCGGCATATATAGCACGAACATGAAAAGAAAAAGAAAAAGGGGGAGAAGAGAGAGAAAGAAGATTCGCCATCGAGTGTTCGCACATGAACCCTGAAGTCGAGTCGTGCTCTACGCGTGCGATTTCTACGCTGACTCGCGTCGAGAGGAAAGAGGAGCCATGACTCGGATTTCTCTCGCCGCGTCGAGAGACAACTACGTGAAAACCACCACCGCTTCGCGGAATACAAGGAAAGGAGAGAAAAAAAATGAACAAGAAATGAACAAGAACAGGACAGAACGACTCTTGCTCTCGTCTCGGGTCATCGCGGGATGCCGTTCGAGTTCGAGTTGCCACCCACACGCGGGTGTCCGCGGGAGCGCGCGCAGATGCTATCTCGCAGCGAGCGATCGCGAGAGCTCGCGACGCGCGGAGAAGAGAAGGAAAAAAAAAGAAGAAAAAAGGAAGGAGAAGAAAACAGACGGAACGCAGCTTCTCGCGCTGCAGCGAACCACGCCCTGCTCCTTCGCCGGTCGTGCGTGCTCTTGGTGATTCACCACCTGGTTCCTGCCTCCTCCGTGGGGTGTCCGGCGTCTGGCCTGCCATAACCGGAGCAACTCCCGATAACCCGAGAGTTCCCGCGAAGGGGAAATCGACGTGCGAGCCGACGCACAGCATGCCCCTGCTCAAGTATTCGAATTCGAGTCAATCGACAAGTAGCCTTATGTCTGTAACGCCCCCTGGCATACGATTTTATATCTGAGGCGTATTAGCATAGACCACCGGTCAAGCCAGGTGCAATATATTTACTCCTTTCCACGTAGAGAACAAACAGCTTCGATCAGACGACTTTGACGTATTCGCTCGAACCCACGCGTCTGTTTGGACAACGTGAAAAGATTTCGTCGATTCGATGCGTGTGGGATTGCCGATCGTATCCTTCTGGAAGGCCCGCGGCGAGCCGATCATCGGATATTTACAAATGTCATAATGTTCGAAAGAAATTTATTAACAAAACGCCCAAGGCAATTGTTGAAATCAAAACTCCGTTTCCGGCTAGTCTTCATTTGCAATTTACAGAATTTACAGAATTCGTGGAGATGCGATTAACCAAACCGTCCAGACATCAACACACTTTTAGCACAGTCTATATTAATAATTTCATCTTATATATATATATATATATATATATATATATATATATATATATATATATATATATTCCGAAACTTGATATTTGTTTAATTGTAATAGAATCGAATCGAGAACGAAATCCCTTGTGGAGTTAATATACGTTAATCCAAATGTTTGATTAGCGTATTTGGGATACAGAGCGCATTGCGCTGATTCCGTTCACGTTCGCGCTTCCTATTTCGTCGAGCGAATCTATCGCAAATTAGGTTCGCGTACAACGAGATCGCGTCATCCGATCTCTCCGCAGTTCGCGAGCGGCAGAGGCCAGGCTGAATGGAAATTACTTCGCGCTTAACGCGACAGACGCGTTTCACGGAAAACGCGAGATCTGGCGAGAAAATAAATCTTTTGAAAAAGGCGACGAGTCGAGCGAGAGAGAGAAAGAGAGAGAGAGGACAGCGGACGAGGATGGGCGGCGTTCGCCGTTTCGATTCGCGAGCGCGATTGCGAGCCGCGCATTATTCTTTACGGTCTTCCCACTGGAGAACAGCCTGCTTGTCATTCGGTTGCACGCATTCGCGAGCTTCTGCGCGATATTATTACGATCGTAAAGCCGACGCGCGGGGAGCGCGCACGGCCGCGTAATATTCCCGCCACGTAATGGCCCCGTCGAGAGAATTACGTATCTCCGAGGGCCGGCGAGATTTATTTTTATGTCTTTTGTCATTATTTATTAGTCGCGCGCGGCCAAGAGAAACTTTGAATATTCAGGCGCGCCTACGTGAAAATGCCCAAGGCTCACACTCCCGCTAAAGCGACGATGATGCTGACCGAGCGCGAAGCGCGCCTCGACCAGGCGCTCGAAAAAGGGTCGTCCTCCGTCGCGTTTCGTCTTCTTCGGCGCAGCCGGAGCAGTTCGTGTGTACACGCTCTTATTTACCATGAGAAAGACAGAACGGACGATCTTTTAACGCCGACACACCTACGACGGACAGCCGATTGCCACTTTATCATATCTTGCTCAATCGACGTGCGTTGTTCCACATGCGAGCGTACGCGACGTATATGCGTTTGCTTGGCTCGTTCGACCGAACGATCTGGCGGCTGACGAAAGCTGCGATTTCTGCGATCACGATCGATATATCGAATATATAGAATATGTTATGTATGTACCCCTTACGAGATCGTTGTTGATCTAGATTATGTCGGCGATTACAATAATCGAGCCTTCGGTAGTCAGCGACCTTCGTCGTATGTCGATTACCACTGACGATTTATGGTAATTGGATTGTCGGTGCGTATCTTTGAATTCACGGCGATCCGTCGCGTATTGTCGGCGCGATGGTAGTTCGCGCGCTTCTTATCCTTCACGTCACGATGCGCTATCATAAATTATCTCGGGATGATATCGCGAGACTCCACGTCGATGTCTTTCGCGACTAATTATTTGCCTCGACCGCGATCGATCGGCCGCGTTGGAGTACCAATACGAATACACAGCGACCTGATTGTAATCGGCACCGGCGATTGCATTTATATTGGCGGACAAGCGTCGCTATTCACCGGATCGCCGCGTAAAAAAAAAAACGAAGACGGACGTTCCTGCACGCGGGCAGTGCACCGCGCTCATCGAGCTCTCCTCTGTTTCTCTTTGTCGCGAAGTGTATATCTGGAATCGAGTGTGGAATTCGAAATAAAGTGACCGTGATCACCGGATGCGGAAGCGTTGCGCACAAGTCCCGTGCCTTCGAGAAACGGGATAACGCCGAAGCGTTATCGTGGCATCGCGATTCCGCAATTGAATTCGACGTGTGTAACACCGAAATTCCATTCGACCGGTGGAAATGCCGGCATACGATATCGGCCGCGCTGAAACACGATACAGAAATCGCTTTCTCGCGCCATTAATATGCTCGCGCGGTCCTTATCTGCGCGAGCACGCGGAAGACGCGATCGCATCCCTCGGGTTACGACCGTAATAAAACGCGACGACAGGCAGTTTCACCTTCTCGAAATGCGAACGCGATCGCAGCGAAACTATGTGCTCCGCGAGATAAAGCCGCGAGACGATTTGACCGTGCGGATTGGCGAACGAGGCGATTAACGGTTGATCCTGTCGGAAGCCAAACTGATAAAATAAAAAAATCGGAGAAAATTGTTAAATTTATTTGACATTGATCATGCACACTAAAATTGAGAGGTTTATAAAAAAATGAGTTAGTTTTTAGGAAGACTTTTGAGACTGTTTACTCAAAGCTTTTTCTAGTAGATATATGCACGATTTATGATTTTTTTCCAGCCTCAAAATCTGGTCATGATGGGTTCTTTCCCGGACTGCGACGTTAAGCTGTGCGACTTTGAAATCTCAAGAGTGATCCTCGAGGGTACGGAGGTTCGGGAGATTCTTGGCACGCCGGATTATGTCGGTGAGTGACCGACCTTCTAAAGATCTCACTGCATTTACTATCTCTCGATTATATACGGCTCGATACGAAACTTGTAATTTAATCCTTAAATAATGTGCATGGATCAACGGAAGGTATAAAAATATGTAAGAATAATATGCATGCAAAAGAAAAAAAATATATTTGTATACGTCAGAAGTATATGTCTTATTTAAAGAGATACTTGTTAAGGAAGCCGAAAAAAAATTTGTTTAATAACGCAAAAAGTTTTTCATTATGCTATATCGCTCTTTCAAGCAGGAACGTCCAATTTTCAATCGCGTCGTTAACGTTATTCGTTATAACGTTATTCAAGATTTCGAAAGTTTAACGCGCTCCATAAATCTCTTTCGGCCACGCCGCAATTCGGAGCACGGTCGGTTAAGAGATCGCCGAGAGATCGGCGCCGATAGAGGCTTGACAAACTTCCTTAATCAAGAACACAAAAATATAAATTGCCGCATTATGGCTGTCAGGAGATAGCGTGTACCGCGCATTATTACTCGATACCAGTGGAGTCACCGTGACGTTGTTTCGGAGGGGAAACTCGTCCAGGTGGTACGTCCGCGCTCTTTGCTCTTTGCCGCGCGGTTTAATTGCTACCGATCATTATCTGGGTCCGCTAATTGACGATCACCGCGGCGAGATCGCAAATATAATCGATATTAATTGACACGTTAGCCTCATTGCACGCTGCCGAGCCCGCACAGACGCACGCCCTTAATAAAGTCGGAGGGGGAGGGGGGAACCCCGTGCCCCGTTACGCGCACGCATACGCACACGCGCGGCTACGAGCCTCCCCCTTGATCCTCCTTTGCCGTAATTGACGTCGGTCTCTTCAAATCGTGCCGTTTACCAGGCAAGGTAATCGACACGTTGTGACCTTTACGTCGCGGAACGAAGTAAATAGTAAAGTTGGACGACCGATGGATTAACGTTCCTTCTTTGTACCGATCTTTTTTTCTCTTTTCTCTTTCTCTCCCTGTCCCTCTTTCCCTCTCTATCTCTGTCTCTTCCTCGCGAAAATTGAGATCTCGCGCGGACAATGCTACTTCGTCAGAGCGTCGCAAGCCCAAATACGATTTGCAATTAATAAAGCGACGTGTTCCCTCGGACTCCTCGAAAATTATTTACCGATTAATCATCGCGTCGATGTCGGCTTCAATCAGTCTCGCCCGCCCACCGATCTCATTTTCTCATTCGCCGTACGAGCGAAATGTCAAGCGGCGAGGTGTCGGAGGTGGAAACCGTTACGCCCGTTAAGACACAGGGTGCTCTAAATCCGTCCGTTTAACAGGCAAGAAACAGGCCGGTGGACTACCCGCCGCGCGGTTTAATTGATGCGTGTCGCCACCGCGCACGATCGCGCACTGTCTACGAAATAATAGGATCAACGGGGTCGGTGGTGGGTAGGCAGTTTAAGATTGTATCGTCAGCCGAGGCAATCCGGTCTGACGGTTCTGACCGGCGTTAGACCGGAACAGTCATTGCGATCGTATATCTCTCCTCGCTCCGCTCACGCTAAACTTTTACGGACAGCTTTACGGGCGCGGAGCCGGGATCAATAATGACGATCTTAGGCGGCGAACG